GAGGCCGAAGGCGACCTGGAGATCATCACGGACTGCAGGAACGTGGTGGACTGCTACGAGAAGGGCGAGCTGTGGTGCACCTGCCCAGAGTCCAGGTACGCGGAGCTCTGGAGCGAGGTGTGGACGCGAGCCCGCGACATGCCTGGTTCGCTGGTCATCCGCTGGACCCGTGCCCACACCAGCTGGGCTACGGCGGAGGCGGCTGGTGTGCCAGCCCACTGGCACATCGGCAACCAGGAGGCCGACGCGCGCGCCAAAGAGGGCGCCAGGCTGCACCTGGACTTCGAGGAAGTGGAGGAGCTCGCCACACGTGTGAGCTCGGCGGTGGAGGCGAGCAAGCAGCTCCTCCGCCATCATGGCGCAGTGCTGAAAAGTGTCGCTGGCGCGGGCTGGCCCGATCGGAGTCCTCTTCCCCGTCCCTGCCCCCAGCAGGTCCTCTCCCTCGTGGCGAACCCTAATGGGCACGTCTTGGGCTGTCTTGGGAGGACCTGGGGATGCTGCATCTGTGGGGTAAGGAATGGGCTCCGATCTCGTATAGTCTGCCACCCGTGCCCTGGAGTGCCTAGGCCTGCGGCGATCGCCCATCCCTCCCATAGGCTGTGGGTGGTTCGGCGTGGGCGTGGGACTGGTGGGCGGGACGGTCGGAGCCTGGGGGGGGACGAGGCGATCGTCTTCTGCAAGTTCTGCGGGGCATACGCCCGTCGGCAGACCCATCTGCTGGCCGTGCCCTGTCGTCCCTGGTCATGTCGCCCCAGGGACTCGGTCCGTCTGGGGAAGATCGCCCTGGACCGTCTCCGTGCTGGTCGGGAACCCCAGGGCAACGTCTTCTGGGGGCTCCCGTTTCCGCTCGCCCGTGGTTCGGCCCCTGGTCCGAAAGCGATCGAGGGAGCCGAGTCTAATGTTTCGAGGGCACCGCCAGCCCTCAGTGGCGGTGCCGCGCCCTGTTCCCTGGTGCCCCGAGGATCTGAGGTGTCTTGGCCTTGACCTCGGAGGCGGGTCCTGCCACTGAGCAGGTGAGCGAGTCATGGCAGAGCTGGACTCGCTTGATAGGATACCTGAGGATACCTGAGGATGCTGGTGTTGCTGATGATGATGATGCTGATGCTGTTGCTGATGATGTTGATGATGATGCTGATGCTGCTGCTGACAATGATGTTGATGAGGATGATGAGGACGCTGATGCCGATGATGGTGATTATGATGCGGATGCTGCTGATGATGATGATTAGGATGCTGGTGCTGATGATGATGCTGATGCTGATGATGATGATGGTGATGATGATAATGCTGATGATGCTGATCATGATGATGATGATGCGGCTGTTCCTGATACTGCTGATGATGCTGATGCTGCTGCTGATGATGGTGATGCGGCTGACCATGCTGCGGCTGCTGATAATGATGCTGCTGATGGTGTTGATGATTGTGCTGCTCCTGATGATGATGACGACGACGCTGATGATACTGACGATGTTGCTGATGATGCTGCTGATAAAGATGATGATAACGATGATGACAACGACGACGCTGGTGATGCCGATGACGATGCTGATGATGGTGATGATGCTGATGTTTCTGATGATGATGCTGATGCTCATGCTGCTGATGATGATGCCGATGATGCTGCTGTCGATAAGGTGCTGATGCTGATGCTTATGATGATGCTGATGATACTGAAGGTGATGCTGATTATGCTGGTGATGATTCTGGTGATGATGCTGATGCTGATGCTGCTGATTATGGTGATGCTGCTGATGCTGATGCTGAAGATGATGATTATGATGACGATGCTTATTCTGATGATGCTGCTGATGATGATGCGGATGATGCTGCTGATGATGCCGATGCTGATGACGATGATGATGATACTGACGATGATGATGATGATGATGATGATGATGCTGATGATGATGCTGATTATCCTGTTTATGCTGACGCTGTCGCTGCTGCTTCTGTTGCCGATTATGATGCTGATGATGGTGATGCTGATGCTGCTGATGATGATGATGCTGCTGATGTTGATGCTGATTATGGTGATGGTGATGATGATGCTGATGCTGATAATGATGCTGATGCTGATGTTGTTGTTGATGATGATGATGGATCGGAGGACAATGAGGCAGAGCAGGAGGAGGAGTAAGAGGAGGAGGAGGAGGAGGAGGAGGAGGAGGAGGAGGAGGAAGAGGGGGAGACAATTACTATGGATGCTGGGGAGGAGGGGCAGGAGCAAGAGGAGGAGGAGAAGGGGGAGGCTGAGGAGGAGAGGGGAACTGCGGAAGGCGATGAGCGGATAACAAGGAGGAGGAGGAGGAGGAAGACCACGATGATGATGCCGATGATGATGCTGATGCTGCTGATGATGATGAGGATGCTGATGCCGATGATGATGATGATGATGATGATGATGATGATGATGATGATGATGATGATGATTATGGTGATGCTGTTGCTGAACATGATGATGCTGATGCTGCTGCTGATGATGGTGATGATGATGCTGATGCTGATGATGAGGATGATGATGATGATGATGATGATGATGCTGGTGCCGATGATGGCGATGATGATGAGGATGCTGCTGCTGCTGATGATGATGCTGATTCTGATGATGATGATGCTGATGATGATGCTGATGTTGATGATGATGATGATGTTGATGATGGTGATGATGATGATGATGATGATGATGATGATGATAATGCTGATGATGCTGATGATGATGCTGCTGTTCCTGATGATGATGATGCTGATGCTGCTGCTGATGATGGTGATGCTGCTGATCATGATGCGGCTGCTCATGACGATGCTGCTGATGGTGTTGATGATCGTGCTGCTCCTTGTGATGATGACGATGTCGATGATGATGATGATGATGATGATGATGATGATGATGATGATGATGATGATGATGATGATGATGATGATGATGATGATCATGCTGATGATTTTGATGTCGTCGATCATCACTGTTTTTTTATGATTATTGTAATTGTTAATGTTATTCTTATTATTACGATTCGGATTTTTATCATTATTCTGTATTCTTGCGATTCGTGTAATATTTTCCATTAGTAGTACTATATTAGTCTTATTTGCAGTATTCCTATTATTGTTAGTATTAGTTATCATTATTATCTCTATTATTCTTGTTATTCGTATATATATATATATATATATATATATATATATACATATAACGGCGCACGGGGTCCGGGGGCCCGGGGCCGGGCCCTCGACCACAAATGTGGGCTCCGGGGGGCCCGGAGGCTCGTCGGGGCTTGCTGGAGGCCTCCCCGGTCAGACAAGACGGCCCCAGGAGCGCCCAAGACGGCCCAAGAAACTTCCAAGAGGTCTCCAAGAGGGCTCGGAGATGCTGAAGATGGCCTCCAGACGTCCAAGGACGCCCCCAAGAGGCCCCAAGAAGCCTCCAACATGCGTCCCAAGAGGGCCCCTAGACGCAAAAATTTGCCCATTCCCTTCGTAAAACGTACATTTTCAACAAAGTTGTCTTTTGGGCTTTCCGACGTTACAGGACGGCCCAAGAGGCGCCCAAGACCGCCCCAAGACGGCCCAAGAAGCTTCCAAGAGGGCCCCAGGAGGGAGGGCCCCAAGACGGCCCAAGAGGCGCCCAAGATGGCCCAAGAGGGCCCCAAGACGGGCCCAAGAGGGGGCCCAGAGGGGGACCACGAACCGCAAGCTCGAGCCTTCCGCCCCAAGAGGCCGCCAGGAGGCCCCCAGGAGGCCCCTCAAGAGGCCCCAGGAGACCCCAGACGTCCAAGGACGCCCCCAAGACGCCCCAAGAAGCTTCCAACATGCGTCCCAAGAGGGCCCCTAGACGCAAAAATTGGCCCATTCCCTTCGTAAAACGTACATTTTCAACAAAGTCGCCTTTTGGGCTTTCCGACGTTACAGGTCGGCCCAAGAGGGCCCCAAGACCGCCCCAAGACGGCCCAAGAAGCTTCCAAGAGGGCCCCAGGACAGCCCAAGAGGGCCCCAAGACGGCCCAAGAGGCGCCCAAGATGGCCCAAGAGGGCCCCAAGACGGGCCCAAGAGGGGGCCCAGAGGGGGACCACGAACCGCAAGCTCGAGCCTTCCGCCCCAAGAGGCCGCCAGGAGGCCCCCAGGAGGCCCCTCAAGAGGCCCCAGGAGACCCCAGACGTCCAAGGACGCCCCCAAGAGGCCCCAAGAAGCCTCCAACATGCGTCCCAAGAGGGCCCCTAGACGCAAAAATTGGCCCATTCCCTTCGTAAAACGTACATTTTCAACAAAGTTGTCTTTTGGGCTTTCCGACGTTACAGGACGGCCCAAGAGGCGCCCAAGACCGCCCCAAGACGGCCCAAGAAGCTTCCAAGAGGGCCCCAGGACAGCCCAAGAGGGCCCCAAGACGGCCCAAGAGGCGCCCAAGATGGCCCAAGAGGGCCCCAAGACGGGCCCAAGAGGGGGCCCAGAGGGGGACCACGAACCGCAAGCTCGAGCCTTCCGCCCCAAGAGGCCGCCAGGAGGCCCCCAGGAAGCCCCTCAAGAGGCCCCAGGAGACCCCAGACGTCCAAGGACGCCCCCACGACGCTTCGCGTCACCAATTTCTTCTCACAACGATTCCTGGGTCTGTGACTCGAAAGAACCTAAGCGCGCGCGAAGCGCGCGCAAGGTTCTAGTCATTAATATTTGTATTATTGCTTTCCTTCTTAATTTTTACTATTATTAATGAAATTATTCTTCTTTGTCTATATGTATTACTTATTCTTTTTTCTTACCACCATCATCATCATTATTGTTCTTATTACTATCATTGATACCAGTAGGATGCTGAATCTGATAATGAAGCTGCTGCTGCTGCTGCTGATGATGATCCTGACCACGATGGCGATGAGAAGGTTGTTGCTGCTGCTGAGGAGGAGGAGGAGAAGGAGGAGGAGGAGGAGAAGAGGAGCCTGGGCCAGTCGGAGGGCTGGGGGCGGGCGTTGTCGGCGCCGCGCGCGGCCCGCTTTGGGCTGCCGCAGGCGGCGCCGCCGGCAAGGGCGGCAAGGGCGTGGCCCGGGATTCTGGCTGCTTGCCGCCGGTGCCGAGGTTCCCCGAGCCGCTGGCGAGGACCCACCGCCCACCGACGTCCTTTACTCGGGGCTGTTTTCCTATTTTCCGTTTTCCTGGCGGCTGTCCAGCCTCGGGATGCTCCAGCAGCGGCGCCTCGCCGAGAGCGTGCCCGAGGTGCCGGGGTCGCCCCGAACGGCCGCAAGAGAGCCGATGTATGACCCAGAAACCAGGGGGCAGGCACCGCTGCCGCTGCCGATTCTTCGTTCCCGCGTGTGTGGGCCTCCTGGAAGGCCTTCGCCGCCGCGGCCGGATTCGCCTGCATGCCAGGAGAGGTTCGTGGAGTAGCGGTGTCGGCCTTGCTTGTCACCCCGGTGGCTGCGTTCAGGTGCGTTTGCGTTCAGCCTGGGGTGTTGACTCGCATGGGGGGGTCTCTCTCCTCCTCCCCTGCCTAGCCGCCGACGCAAAACAGTTTTCTCGCATGAGGTTCCTTTTTTTTCCGTTGTGCTATCTCCTGCCGCTGCGCCGTCCAGTCGCGGCCTCGTCCTGTCCTGTCTTGTCTTTGCGAGGGCCCGGCCTGCTATATCGCCCAGGTGCCACGCCTGCTATCTCGCGGTGAGGTCGTTTTCAAATTGTGGCTCTCGCCTGAGCGCCGCCCACATCTGTTTGCACAGTTTGCAACAGTTTGTTTGATCGAGGACAGTTTTTTGTGGCTTTACTGTGAGCGCCGTGCACATCCGTCTTCAACATTTGCGGAAGCTTCACGGATGGAGGGCGGGTGGTTTTCAACATGTGGTTCTCGCGTTAGCGCCGCGCACATTCGTCATTACAAATGCAAGATTGTCACGGGTCGAGGGCGGTCCCTTATCATCATGTAGCTCTCGATTTCGCGCCGCGCACATTCGTTGGTGAGCGTACCCGACATGGTTGTAGGAATGTCAGGGCGCAACAGTTACGTTGGTTCGTGGTGGCGAAGTTCCAGTAATGGTGTTCCGGCGCAGTTCAGGATCGTCAAGACGCAACCGTAAGTGTGATTCGTGGCGTTGAAGTCCCAGGATTGGTGTTCTGGCATAGTTCAGGATTGTCAAACGGCTGTTTTCCAACGGTGCATCCCCTTCAGTGAAAATCAATATTTGTAGGGGCCTCTGACGAGCGAGCTTGGAGGGAGGGTTTATTGCAACATCGTTGATGAGTCTTGGGCTTGTGGGTTTGAGGCCCTTGTGGGCACCCCGCCCGCCCCGCGGGCCCTCCAACTGCCGCTCGGCTGCTCACTCGCTCGCTCCTCCCCCTCCCCTCCTCCGCCTCCTCCGCCTCCTCCTCCTCGTCTTCCTCGTTCTCCTCCTCTTGTTCGTCACTCCCCCTCCCTGTCCTCCTCCTCCTCCTCCGCCTCCTCCTCCGCCTCCTCCTTCGCCTCCTCCCCCTCCGCCTCTCCACCCCTCTTCCACGTTCTCCACCTCCTCCATCTTCCTCCTCCTCCTCCTCCTCCTCCTCCTCCTCCTCCTCCTCCCTCTCGTCCTCCTCCTCCTCCCTCTCGTCCTCCTTCTCCCTCCTCCCTCCCCGTCCCCCTCCCCGTCCCCCTCCCTGTCCCTCCCCGTCCCTTCCCAACGTCCCTTCGCGCGGCAGGAGCGCAATAGGCGCGCCTCAGCTCGCCGCTCTCGTGTCGATGCACGTGCGCGCTGCACGCCTGGTGCTGCTCCTGCTGGCTCCAGGGATGGGGGAACAGGTCGAGCTCAGGCGTCGAGGGGGGAAGGAGGGCGAGAGGAGGACTAAGGATGACACATGAGGACGAAGGATGACCAAGCTCTTCATAGGCTTAAGAAGGGTACCTGAATGCATCTTCAGGGGTGAATCGGTCATCGGCGAGGCACTAGAGACTGGTGGGCATCTTGCAGGAGAGTCCGTTGCCCCAGAACCCAGATGAAATAAGGACGAAGAGGGACGAGGGAGGAGGACGATTGAGGACGAATGGGGGGGAAGGAGGACGGGATGATGTCGAAGGAGAACGGGGCAGAAAACACACGAGGAGGGGGAGGAGGGTACAGAGGGGGGTGGGGGCGAGAGGAGGGTGAATCGAAGAAGTGGAACATTGCATAAACGTAGACTTTTGAGAGGTCCGTGCGGACCTCCGACAGATTATGCGTATGCAGCTGTCCTGTATTTTCTTGCGCAGGTTGTCTAGAGCTCCGATATTTTTATTTTTCGCGTCGCAGCCCCCATTCCCACCCCCTCCCAACTGCAGGCTGACGCCCCTATCCCCAGTCCCTCACTGTCCCCGTTGTCCACCAGCAGACCACTGTCCTCTCTGCCCCGCCCACTTTATGTTTCGTGTCGCAGCCCACCCACCCACTCCGCACGCCCCCCCCTGCCTCCCCCACAGGCTCCTCCGCCACCGACCGCTGTCCTCTCGCAGCCCAGTGCCCCCTTCGCCCCGACCACTTTATGTTTCTCGTCGCAGCCCGCCCACTCCCTGCCGCCCCCCCCGCCACCGCCCGCTGCCCCCGCTGTCCTTGGGCAGCCCAGTGCCCCCTCCGCCCCGACCATTCTTGCGTCGCAGTCACGCCTCCCCCCCCCGCGCGGGCCACCGCCACCGCCGCCGTCCCCGAGCCCCCCTCGCCGCCCCCTCCCCTCGGCATGCAACCGCCCCTATCCCCTGTCCCCACCCCGCCCCCGCCCCCCTGTCCCCACTGTCCTCCGCGCCGACTACTTTATTTTTGCGTCGCAGCCCCCCGCCCCATCCCCCCCCACCTTCCCCCCCTTCCCCCGCCGCCCCTCTCCCCCGCCCCCGCCCCCATGTCCCCCATTTTCGCCCAGCAGCCCAGTGCCCCCCTCCGCCCCGACCACTCAATCTTCCGCGTCGCAGCCCCCCGCCCCATCCCCCTCTCCCCACCTGCCCCCCCGCCCACCCTCCCACCCGCAGGCCACCGCCCCCGCCGTCGTCGTCGCCGTCGCCGTCGTTGTCGTCGTCGTCGTCGTCGCCGCCGCCGCCGCCGCCGCCGCCGCAGCCGTCGTCGTCGTCGTCGTCGTCGTCGTCGTCGTCGTCGTCGTCGTCGTCGTCGTCGTCGTCGTCGGGGGTGCCGCTCCTGGGCGCTCCAGAGCCGGCAAGCGAAACGGCTCGGGCCGAAAGCTTGGTCTATGGGAGAGGCCCTATTCGAGAGGCGTGTACAAGTCTGCCGGCCCCTAAGGATGGACCCGACAGACCCTGCGCGCAAAGTGATTGCCCTGGACAAGCATTCCCACCACAAGGCCGTAACACGTGGCAGTTTGCACCGCGAGCCTCCGTCCGCCAGGTCTGCTCAGTAATTCCTTCCGGCCCTCCTTGGACCTTGGAGGCCTCCGAGGAGCCTCTTCAATGCCTTTTGGGGTTGCGGGGGACCTCTTGGGACCATCTTTGGGCTGCTTGGGTGTCTGCTGGAGGCCTCCTGGGAACATGTTGAAGGTTTTTGAAACCATCCTGTGGGGGACGGCCATTACAGCCTCCGCGAACTCGCCCTCTGAAGCCCCTCTTGCGGCCCTCTTTGTTCGCCCACCTCCTCCTCCTTCCTCCTCCTCCTCCTCCTCCTCTTCCTCCTTCTCCTCCTCCTCCTCCTCCTCCCCCATCCTTTCTGTGCAAGAGCCATGGCACGCGTGCCACTTGTTCTAACGACGGAGGACGATCCAGTCTGTCAGTCAAGCATGGCGCCCTGGCGTCGCACTGAAATATCAAACGTTTTCAGTGGAACGCTCGCCGATGGAGGGGGGGCGGAGCGCGACAGGATGAGGACAGGGCAATGATAGGATGGAAAGACAAGCTAAAGCCAACGGGCGCCACATTGGTTGCAAACGCATGCAGGCCACTACTGCTCGGGCCTCCCTCACCTCTGGAGGAGGAGGGGGAGGAGTGGCGGGGGCGTCGGGGAGAAAAACGAGGAGGGGGAGAGAGGGGAGGCTGTTAGCGGAAGCGGGACGAGGGCGGAGGAGAGAGGAGGAGGAGGCGGAGGAATAGGAGGAGGAGGAGGAGGAGGAGGGAGGAGGCGGAGGTAGGAGAGGAGGACGGAGGAGGAGGAGGAGAGGAGGAGGATGGAGGAGGAGGGGAGGAGGAGGGGAGGAGGGAGGAGGAGGGAGGAGGAGGAGGAGGAGGAGGAGGAGGAGGAGGATGAGGAGGGGAGGGGGAGGGGAGGGGGAGGGGGAGGAGGCGGAGGAGGAGGAGGAGGAGTGAGGAGGAGGAGGAGGAGGAGGAGGAGAGGAGGAGGAGGAGGAGGAGGAGGAGGAGGAGGAGGAGGAGGAGGAGGAGGAGGAGGAGGAGGCGGAGAGGAGAGGTAGGAGGAGGAGGAGGAGGAGGAGGAGGAGGAGGCGAGGAGGAGGAGACGCCGGAGACGAGGACGGAGGACGGATGACGGTGGACCGAGTGGGGAGGAGGAGGAGCAGGAGGCGGATGAGGAGTAGGAGGAGTAGGCGGAGGAGGAGGAGGAAGAGCAGGAGGAGGAGGAGGGAGGAGGAGGAGGAGGAGGAGGAGGAGGAGGAGGAGGAGGAGGAGGAAGAGGGAGGAGGAGGTGGAGGAGGAGGGGGGACGAGACGGATGAGAACGAGGAGGGCGAGGAGGGGATTGGCGGAAAACGCGGGGAGGGAGGTGTGGGAGCGGCAGTTGCAGGAGGACGAAGGCGGGGGGAGATGAGCGGAGGAGGAGGAAGAGGGGAGGAGGAGGAGGAGGAGGAGGAGGAGGAGGAGGGAGGAGGAGGAGGAGGGGGAGGAGGAGGAGGAGAAGAGGAGGAGGGGCAGGAGGAGGAGGGACGACGGGGAGTACGGAAGGAAGAGACGGACGGAGGACGAGTGGGAGGAGGAGGAGGAGGAGGAGGAGGAGGAGGAGGAGGAGCAAGGAGGAGGAGGAGGAGGAGGAGGGGAGGAAGAGGAGGAATTGGAGGGGGATCCGGAGGAGGAGGAGGAGGAGGAGGAGGGCAGGAGGAGGATGAGGAGGAGGAGGAGGAGGAGGAGGAGGAGGAGGAGGAGGAGGAGGAGGAGGAGGAAGAGGAGCGCGGAGGAGGAGGAGGAGCAGTATGAGGAGGAGGGATAGCGAGTGAGAGGGCCAGCGTACCTCGAGGCCCCCTGTCAGCTTGGGCCTCCTTGCAACATGAGCAGAGCGAAAGGGGTCGGAGGAGGGAGGCGGCACCAGCATGAACAAAAGCATTTGATGGTCCGCGCGGATTTCTTGGAGCGGCCTTGGATCCCTGCGCGCCAGGGAGGGGGGGGGGCTCCAGCTCCGATCGAGGAATCCCGTGCGGACCGTAGAACGTTTTGTGCCTCAAGGCAGCAGGGTACCGCGGGGTAAAGCACGTCTCCTCGGAGTGTGGCTGCCGCCACTGTCTCCCTTGCTGTTGCATGGCACTGCCGTGGACACCGCGGGCGCACCGTTTTTCATTGAAATGCTCAGCAGGGGGACGCCCATCGTGCTTCCCAGAACTGCCCGGGCGGCGGCTCTCTCTCTCTCTCTCTCTCCCTCCCTGCAGCGCATCTCTCGGTAGTGCGCACCACGCCGTAACTTCGAGCATTGAGCTCCCAAACCGTCATGCGTTGAGACGTTGGAGAGCAGCCTGCGCCGTTTGCGTCGCATTCTGGGCTGCAGGTGCGTGGCGTTCTCGTCAGCAGGTTTTGTTTCGATGCATTTCAAGAACATGCATTGACTCGTATCCCATCGACGAGTGCGCACCTGGCCGCAGGCCTTTTCCAGTGCTTTAACATCCGCTGCCGGCCGGAGAGTGCCGCAGCTGCCACGCCTCTAATGCGCGAGGAGTCGTCCCACATCAGCGGGGCACCTCGATCCGTGTCGGCCTCGTGCACGGCTCCCGTCATGCCCTCAAAGGCCCTGGGCCTGCGGTTTGCAACGGTTGCTTGAAGGGATACCGATGTGCCCTCCACGGCCTGCAGAGTAGGCCTCTTCTTCAAGAGGCTTACGCCACCCTGCCGAACCCCAGGGGAGGGACGGGTCCACGGGTGAGGCCTTCTGGGGCCTCTTTGGCACCGTCCGGGGGCTTCTTCTGTGCATGCTGGGGACCTCTTCGGGCCTCTTGGGCGATTTTCCGTGTATATAGCGCTGGCCGCGCTTCGTAGGTTGCACGAAGGATCGCCGCCATGCCGTCGATCAGTTTGAAAGGAACACATCATGAAAATGGTCCTCTCGAATCGATCCTCCGATTTAGGATAACATGCAGCAGATGCATCACATTGGTTGGGCTGTTATGCTGATAAGGTAGAACGTCTCACCAGCAACGCTTCTCTCCGATGGTTTCGGTAATAAATCATGGGGGCTCTGTGTGTCCCCGAAATTCTAGACGCTTCGCGTAACCCCACCAGCTGCAGCTGTGCGCACGGCAGTCTCCCCCAGCTCAGTCCCGGCAGCCCCCCCTCTGAGGCCTCGGCCGCGCTTAGTTGCCGCCTCGCCCGTCGCTCTGTTTTTTTTTTTTTTTTTTTTTTTTTGTTTTTTTTTTTTTCCCCCCCCCCCCCCGCGTTTACCTTGCCTAATCCGCCCCGGCCTCTTGCATGCGCACCCTGGCAGTATTGTGCCCCAGTTTGCTGTTAATCAGTCTGTGGCGCGCCCCGCTTCGACTTGACACGCCGTCGGCGCTTCCGCCCGCGGCCGTTGACAAAAAAGTAGCCCCAGCAGCTTGCATTTCTCAGTCTTACCTCGACTGACGGCTCGTTGGCCACGGCCACCCTGGTGCCCACGCAGTCGTCTGAGGTACGGTATCGTGCTTTCTCTCTCGGAGCTGTCCCTGGCCGTCGTTGACTTTCCGACTTTTGGCGCCTCCGACGGACTTGCAGCTGTGCGCGCTGGTAATTCCTCTCAGTCTCAGTCCCTTCAGCCATCCACCTGCCGTTGGGCCGCTGCGTGAGGCCTCGGCTGGCGCGTAGCTGTTGCCTCGCGCGTCGCCTCTGCTTTAATTTTCTCGCGTTTCTCCTGCTTAAGTAGTCTCTGCGTAGCCCGCTTTGACCTGACTCGCCGCTGGCGCGATCGCCCGCGGCCGCTGATTAAAAAAGTAAACCCGCCAGCCCATCAAGAAACGATGCCCAGAGGAATTGCCTCGATCAGGGAAGTGGGCAGCACACAGAGGAAGGGTCCCCCAGTGGAGGCCTCTTGGGGCGTCTTGGGTGCCTCGGAGAGCGTCTCTTTGGAGCATCTTGGAGGCCTTTGGGCGCCTCTTGGGGCCCTCTTGAAGCGCTCTCGGGAGCCTTGGGAGCGCTCTTGGGGCCATCTTGGAGGACATCGATCAAACAAGCAGCGAGCATTAGTTAACGTTGTCCCCTGGGGGCCCAACACATCGCCTCTTGGGGCGCTCTTGGGGCGCTTTTGGAGCGCTCTTAGGCGCTCATTGGGCCGTTTTGGGGCTCTCTTGAGCCTTTCTCGGGGCCCTCTTGGGCCATCTTGGAGCCATCTTGAGGCCTCGGATGGCCATCGGAAGCGAAACGGCGAGAAAACCAAACACATACATGTTCCTAAGGTTTTGGCCTCTTCGGGGCCTCCTGGGGGAGCTCTTTGGCCACTTGGAGCCGTCTTGGAGCGGTCTTGGGGCATCATGGAACATCGTGGGGGCCATTATGAGACACTTTGGGATATCTTGAGCCATCTTGGAGGTCATCTTGGGAGTCATCTTAACCAGCCATCGAAATCAGTGTTTCCCCCCCAAGAGGCCAACATGTGGCTAAAACCTGAGTGACATCAATGATTTGGTATTTGGAATGCAATCGATGAGACAGTGCTGATGTTGTTTCGGGTCGCGTCGATTTACCGTCGATTTACCGTCGATTTAGCGCCGGCTTGCGTCGACTAGCGCCAGTTCGTGTCGATTACCATCGGTCAACGTCGATCCGCTAGACCCTTCATGGTATGGGACGCTCCCACGAGTTGCCACCGAACTTGTTGCCCCGAAGTTGGTGTCTACGTCCCTGCCCCGTCACCAGCATTCGGGGCCGAGGTCCAGACCGACCGTGGCCACCTCCTGGTCCCAAGCGCGGGGCGTGGAGGGCCCCTCTCCCGTGCGGTCTTCGTCCGTACGGCAAGGCCCAGCCAGTCTCCGTGGGCGTCGCCTCCGGAGAGGAAGGGCGCCGTCCAACAACACCAACATCAACACCACCAACAGCACCAACACCAACAACAGCAGCAACAACAACACCAACACCAACACCAACAAAACCAATACCATCAGCAACACCAACAACAGCACCACCACCAAACCAGCACCACCACCAACAACAGCATCACCAACAACAGCACTAGCAACAACACCAACACCAGCAGCACGATCAACAACAACACCACCACCAACACCACAACCAATAACTTCACCACCACCAGCAACACCACCAACAACATCACCACCAACAACACCACCACCACCAACAACACCAACATCAACACCAAACCAACAGCAACAACAATAACAGCAGCAACACCATCAACAGCACAACCACCAAACAAAGATAACAGCACCAACAAACACATCAGCAGGAACACCAACCACACCAACACCAACACCAACACCACTCACAACACCAACAACATTAACAACACCACCAACAACAACAACGACACAATCAACCACAACAACACCATAACAAGAGCAACACCAACAACAATAAACACACCAACACCAACACCAACACCAACACCAACACCAACACCAACACCAACACCAACACCAACACCAACACCAACACCAACACCAACACCAACACCAACACCAACACCAACACCAACAAAACAATACCCATAACAACAACCCCGGCAACAACAACAGCAACAGCAGCAATACCAACAACAGGAACACAAGCAACACAACCACCAACGCCAACAATCAGTTTACGATTGTTCGCTCTTGTCGGCTCGCGGGCCAGTCACCACGTATATCCCAAACCCTCCATTCCCGCCCTCCTCGTCTTCGATCGTACCCCTTCAGGGGTATACATATCTCCTCTCTTTCTTATCTGCAATTGCGTATTTCTTGCAGCTCGTATGGCAGGGAAAGAGGACGGATTGAAGGAAGGGACAAGGGGGAGGGAGGAGGATGGAGCACGAGTGCGAGTAGCAGGAGGGGGGCTAGGAAGAGAAATCACGTGGCAGAACCAGACGGGCAGATCGGGCGGGTAGATCCTAACGGGCGTGTCGGGAGGGCGGGCTTAGGCGGCCAGGTCGAGTTGGCGGGTTGCTGAAGCGTCTTGCATGACTTGTGAGGAGGTCTCGAGTTATAGCGCGATTTCCAAATAAATCGCCAGGGGATCCACAGCGAGAGCGTGATTCCTGAGTATCGAAGGCGCGGCGTCTGAATGAATGGCGCGGAAATCCCACGCGAGAGCGCGATTCTTGTATACATCGTGAGGGCGTCCCGCGCAAGAGCGCGATTTGGGCATACACCGCGAGGAAATCTCATGCAGGAGCCGTTGTTGTTGTAAAGCGGGGGCCAGGAGCCCAGTTTGGTGACCCCTCGCCCTCCCTTTGAAAAACAGGGTGCGAGCCCTGGCAGGGGCACTCACATCGGACAACCACACAATGGTCACCAGAGGGGGGATCAACAATAATCAATCTTCGGAAATGAGAAGTCAACGACAACAATTTGAACAACAACAAAGAACATCAGCACCACCATCACCACCGACAACATTAACACCAACATCATCACCAACCATAGCGACAACAACACCAGCAACAGCAACAGCAACACCAACAGCAACAGCAACAACATCACCACCACCAACAAGAGCATCACCATCAACAGCAGTAGCCTCACCACCACCACCAACAACAACACCACCACCACCAACAACAATCCGCACCGCGGAACTCCACTTCAGCCACGCGCCTAGGGGCAGTGAATGACCGTTCGGGCCCCTCACTCTGATATCGAGTAACTGTGGATGGGAAAGGGGGAGTGGAGAGGAGTGAGGGAGAGGGTGGTGTGGCGGAGAGGGAGGATGGTGGGAACGCGTGGAACTTGGCGTTGACCCCTCAGGCTCGCACTCGGCAGAAGGGGCAGGGCGGTCTGCTCGCCGAGTCCGAGGCCCTGCCGCTGCTCACCGCGCTGCACCAGCTGTGCGCGAAAAGCTCCGCGGGGCGCGACAGCGTCGTGTGCGCCTTCCGATCGCTGCTCACGGTCGTTGGAGCGCTTGAAGACGACAACGGCGACGACAGCGATGTTGTTGGTGCTGCTGCTGCCGACGACGACGACGTCGGTGCTGAGGATGATGATGCTGCTGCTGATGGTGATGTTGATGCTTGTGCTGATGCTGATGATGGCGATGATGATGATGGTGCTGCTGCTGCGGATGATTGTGATGGGATGATGCTGCTGCTGATTACGATGGTGATACTGCTGCACTGCTGCTGCTGATGGTCATAATGATGAGGATGATGATACTGGTGCTGATTCTGATGATACTGAGGATGTCGACGACGATGCTAGTGCTGCTATTGATGATGATGATGATGATGATGATGCTGATGATGATGATGATGATGATGATGGCGTTGTCAATACTGCAGCAGATGGCGGTGACGACGATGATGAGGGAAAAACTGATGGTGGCGATGACGAGGACGATGCTGATGATGCTGATGCCGCTGCTGATGATGATGCTGCTGATGCTGATGCTGAGGATGACGATGATGATGTTGATGCTGATGGTGAGAGCTGCTGATGATGATGGTGATGGTGATGATGACGACGACAAAGCTGATAAAAATGATGATGATGCTGATGATGACGAGGATGCTGATGCTGGTGATGATGATGCTGCTGCTGATGATGAGGATGATGCTGCCGCTGCTGGTGGCGCGGCCAGTTGCTGCTGCCGATGCTGATGATGCTGATGATGATGATGATGATGATGATGATGATGATGATGATGATGATGGTAATGATGATGATGCTACTGATGCTGATTCCGATGACGATGCTGCTGCTGCTGATGATGAGTACGCTACTGATGATGCTGATGACGCTGATGATGATGCTGATGCTGATGCTGATGCTGATGACGAGGATGCTGATGCTGATGATGATGACGATGATGATGTTGATGCTGCTGCTGCTGATGATGATGCTGATGCTGATGATGATGATAGTGGTGTTGTTGGTGATAGTGATGCTGATGATGATGACGATGCTGATGCTCATGATGATAATGCTGCTGCTGACGATTATACTGATGATTATGCTGATTCAGATGATGACTGATGGCTGATGATGATGAGGAGGAAGAGGAGGAGGATTGAAAGGATGCTGATGATGCTGATGATGATGACGATTATGATGCTGCTGCTGCTGATGCTGATGATGATGGTGATGACGATGATGATGATGATGCTGCTGATGATGATGATGATGACGATGATGATGATGATGCTGACGACGACGATGCGGACGATGCTGGTGATGATGATGATGATGATGATGATGCTGATGATGATCATGATGCTGATGATGATGCTGATGCTGATGATGATGCTGATGATAATGATGATGATGATGCTGCTGCTGATGATGATGATGCTAATGATGCGGATGCTGAGGAGGAGGAGGAGGAGGAGGAGGAGGAGGAGGAGGAGGAGGGGAGGGGGGGAGGGGGAGGGCGAGGATGAGGATGAGGATGAGGACGAGGATGGGGGGAGGAGGAGGAGGAGGAGGAGGAGGAGGAGGAGGAGGAGGGAGGAGGAGGAGGAGGAGGAGGAGGAGGAGGAGGAGGAGGGGGAGGAGTATGATAATGAAGAGGAGCATGAAGCGGATAAGGATGAGGAGGAGGATGAGGGGGAGAAGGAGGAGGAGGAGGAGGAGTAGGAGGAGGAGGAGGAGGAGGAGGAGGAGGATGAGGAGGAGGATAAGCGGGACGCGGAGGCGGATAATACGGGTAGCATGCACATGTGCTCGACTGTGTTTACGTCTGTGCGCCGCGCGTCGCGCGGTTGCTGGATCGCATATGCCATGCTCTTGTTTGTCCCTATCCGCAGGGGTGGAGATGCTGCTCTCGCTCTCGCTGTCTTGCGCGCCGCGCCTGCCAGTCTTGGGGGTGCGTCACGCCAACATATGGCGAGATGAGCACGTTACAAGATCAGCACCTCCTCCTCCCCCTCCTCCTCCTGCTCCTCCTCCTCCTCGACTCGACTCGACTCATGACGGTATGAGAGTGTCCGCTGTCGATCTTGGAGCAAAGGACAGGAAGGACGAAAGGGAGAGAGGGAGAGTGTGAGAGAGAGGGAACGAGAGAGAGAGAGAGAGAGAGGGACACGATGCTATCACCGAGTGTGCAACATGCAGTCCGCGGAGATAGGGGCCCAGCGTGCCATGTAAATGGGGTCACGGCCTTAGGACTCTCCTCCTCTTCCTCCTCCATCTCCTCGATTGCCGCAGGCACGCAAGTCCTCCCTCCTGCCCCTCTTCCGTGTGAAGCGCCCCCCAGGTCGAGTGGCTCCTGCGGCAGGCGGAGGGCCGGCTGGACGAAGTGGCCCCGCCAGGAGGGGCAGGGGGCGGCGAGGGGGGGTCCTCCTCCTCCTCCTCCTCCTCCTCCTCCTCCTCGTCCTGTCTGGAGCGGCGGGTTGAGGGAGGGGGTGGGCGGGGGGGGGGGAGCGAGCGAGCGAGCCAGCATGCGTCCAGGTGGGCCACCAGGACGCCGCCGCAGAGGGAGGGCGGCCGCAGCGGCGGCCTAGGAGCAGGCACAGAGCCACACTCAGGTCGAGGAGACTGGCCAGCGGCCAGTCGCGGCCAGGGCCGGGGGGGGGGAAGAGGTGGGAGAGCGGCCTCTGGGTTCGTGTCGTGCCGACGCGGCGGTGACCTCGCCGCGGGCGATGAAGGTTGAGCGCCGCCAGCGGCCCAGAATCGGCAAATGTGGAACGATCTGGCGATTGGAACGCCGCGAGTCGTTCAAGGTTGAACGATCGACGCGGTGTCTGAAACCAACGCTGGGGTGGTCACGACAAGACCCTGCCGTACGGAAATAATGATGACGAAGGCGGACAGCAATACCTGTCCATCTTGGACGGGAGTCGCTGTCGGCGTTGCGGTGGGCGTTGTTGGTTTGAGAGTGCGGCCGCCCAGCAGTCGCTGTCGGTCTTGGACAACCTTCCCTGCTGTGCATCGTGCCCATTTATCGAAGACGCCTACGGCGAATCACCGCCGCCCCCTGCCTTTTTGGAAGCGCCTATGTGGCCGAACGTTGAGGCCAGACCTGCCAAGCTATCGGACCATGTGTTCCCCGAATCGGTTTGGAAAGCCTTCGGGGAACACGTGGGCATCTTGAAGGTCATCTTGCCCGTCCGGAGGCCATTTTGACCCTTTCGGGCCTTCTTGGAGGACGTCTTGGAGGGCTCTTGGACCGTCTTGGAGGCCATCTTGAGCGTCTTGGAGACCTCTTTGGCCGTCCTGGCGGCCTCTTGGGGCCGTGTCTTGGGCCTCTTGGGCGATCTTTGGGGGCACTCGGGCCGTCGGAAGGCCGAAAAACAAGCAAATGCCACAATCTTTCAACAACTCATGGAGAATCAATGATTTTGGCCTTTTCGGGCCTTCCTGGAGGCCCTCTTGGAGGCCTCGCAGTCTTGGGCCATCTTAGGGCCATGTTCGGCCGTCTTGGTGGGCTCCTGGTCCGTCTGACGCTGTCGGAAGCAGTTTTGGGGGCCTCTATTGGCCGACTTGGGGCCCTCTTGGACTGCTCCAGGGCCGTCTTGGAGGCCATCTTGGGCGTCTTAAAGGCCTGGGGCCATCTTGGAGGCCTCTTGGGCGAGCTTTCGGCGATCTTTGGGGGCTCTTGGGCCGTCTCGGGCCGTCGGAAGGGCGAAACGAAGGAAATGTCAAAATTCTTCGAACACCTGCGGAAAATCAAGGTTTTTGGCCTTTTCTGGCCTTCCTGGAGGCCCTCTTGGGGGCCTCTTGGGCCGTCTTGGGCCTGCTTCGAGCCAACTTCGGCTATCTTGGTGGGTTCCTGGCACGTCTGACGCGGTCGGGAACCGTTTGGGAGGCCTTTCTGGGCCGACTGGGGGCCCTCTTGGGGCGCTTCGGGGCCGTCTTGGAGACCATTTTGGGCGTCTTGGAGGCCATCTTGGGCGTGTTGGAGGCCTCTTGGGCCATCTTGGGGCCCTCTTGGAGCCGTCTTGGAGGCCACTTGGGCCGTCATGGGGCCCTCTTGGGGGCCTCTTGGGCGATCTTGGGGGCCTCTTGGGCCGTCTTGAGCCGTCGGAATGCCGAGAAGAAGCAAATTCAAAAATTCGTCAAAAACCTAGGAAAGTTAAGGATTTCAGTCTTTTCGGGCCCTCCTGGAGGACCTCTTGGAGGCCTCTTGGGCCGTCTGGGAGGCCTCTGGGGGGGGCCTCTGGGGCCGTCTTGGGCCGTCTTGGACTCTCTTGGGCCGTTTTGGAGGCCGTCTTGGACCATCTCGGGCGGACTTGGAGGCCATCTTGGGCCATCTTCGCGATTTTTTGAGGATGTCCCGAGCGAAACGGCAGTTTTTTGGAGGATTTTTTTCCGGATTGAGGTCCTTTCGGCTTCCTCCCGGGACCCCGGCGGGACGTGCCGGAGCCCACTGGGGGAGTTCTTTTGGAAAAAGAACCAAAACCAAAAGCGATATCGTTCGGCACGCCAGGCACCCCTTTGATAAGCAAAAGGGGGCGGCGGATCGAAGACGCCTACGGCGAATCACCGCCGCCCCCTGCCTTTTTGGAAGCGCCTATGTGGCCGAACGTTGAGGCCAGACCTGCCAAGCTATCGGACCACGTGTTCCCCGAATCGGTTTGGAAAGCCTTCGGGGAACACGTGGGCATCTTGAAGGTCATCTTGGCCGTCTTGGAGGCCTCTTGGGCAAGCTTTGGGCGATCTTTGGGGCTTTTTGGGCCGTCTCGGGCCAGCTTCGAGCCAACTTCGGCCATCTTGGTGGGTTCCTGGCACGTCTGAAGCCGTCGGAAGCCGTTTGGGGGGCCTCTATGGGCCGACTTGGGGCCCGCTTGGAATGCTCCAGGGCCGTCTTGGAGGCCATCTTGGGCGTCTGGGAGGCCATCTTGGGCGTGTTGGAGGCCTCTTGGGCCCTCTTGGGGCCCTCTAGGGGCCATCTTGGAGGCCACTTGGGCCATCATGGGGCTCTCTTGGGGGCCTCTTGGGCGATCTTGGGGGCTTCTTGGGCCGTCTTGAGCCGTCGGAGAGCCGAAAAGGCGCAAATGCCAAAATCCTTCAAAAACCAAGGGAAAATCAATGATTTTGGCCTCTTCGGACTCTCCTGGAGGACCTCTTGGAGGCCTCTTGGGCCGTCTGGGAGGCCTCTGGGGGGCCTCTTGGGCCGTCTTGGGCCGTCTTGGACTCTCTTGGGCCGTTTTGGAGGCCGTCTTGGACCATCTCGGGCGGACTTGGAGGCCATCTTGGGCCATCTTCGCGATTTTTTGAGGATGTCCCGAGCGAAACGGCCGTTTTTTGGAGGATTTTTTTCTGGATTGAGGTCCTTTCGGCTTCCTCCCGGGACCCCGGCGGGACGTGCCGGAGCCCACTGGGGAGTTCTTTTAGAAAAAGAACCAAAACCAAAACCTGAATCGTCCAGCACGCCGTGCACCCCTGCAAGCAGGGGGCGGCGGATCCAGCTGCCTACGGCAAGTCCCGCCACCGTGCCTGGGTTGTGGGTTATGAGCCTAGTGGGTGTTCGTTGGAACTCGTGGGAGGCCTCTCGGGCTCTTGGAGACAGCTTTGAGACCTCTTGAGGGCCTCTTGAGGTGCGACGGGGAGAGGGGGGGTCCCTTAGAAGATCACAGAAACCCTACCAGACAGCACTTGGCATTTGAGCACGCCTCAACGTGCCATGGGGGTACGGTGGCCGATTCCGTACCCATCTTGGGCGTGCCAAAGAGGGAGGGTAGTGAGGGGGAGGGGGAAAGGAGAGCACGGGGTGGGGAGGTGAGTTGTGCATCCTCTCCCTGTTCCCTTTCCCCTTCCTTCCTCTTCCCCCGTCCGATCCTCCAACTTCTCATCATCCTGTTCAGTGCTTCTCTCTCTTCGGCCTTTCTCATTGCAGCCTCCCCTCACAGCTGCACGGTGTCACTGCCGAGAGAGAGAGTGTTCTTTGTCGCAGGGTGGAAGAAGGATAGCGAGCAGGAGGATGATAAGGATGAGAAGGAGGGAGGAGGGAGGAGGGAGGAGGAGGGAGGGAGAAGGATGATGGATGGATGGATGGATGGATGGATGGATGGATGGATCGTATGGAGGGAGGCAGGGAGGGAGGCAGGGAGGGAGGGAGGGAGGGAGGAGGAGGAGGAGGGAGGAGGAGGAGGAGGAGGAGGAGGTGGAGGAGTGAGGAGGATGGAGGTAGAGGAGAATGAGGACGCTGAGGAGGACGGCTGCAGTCCCGAAGATGCGGGCACGACCGCGGTCAGCGTCGCTGTTGGGACTTTCGCGACTCCGCGCGATGGGATATGACCAAGTGCTGGGACACAGACCCGCTCAAGCGGCACACAGCCAGGAGGATGAGCAGGAAGATGATGGGGAGGATGAGGTGGCAGAGGAGGATGGATAGGAGGAGGTGGAGGCGGACGGTTGGTAGGACACGGGAGGGGGGCCCTGAGATCCGACGTTGAGGAAACGACGGTCGCAACAGGAGCCCCAGACGTCATCTTTTTTTCTGATGCACTTTCCGAGCGAGCCCGATCGATTTGTGATGGTCCCGCGGCCTGCTACTCGGCGGAAGCTCCCCGTGTGACAAGCATGGCAACGCCCAGATCTCAGGGGGTGGAAGGGGAGGAGGAGGCGGAGGAGGAGGAGGCGGCGGAGGAGGAGGAGGCGGCGGAGGAGGAGGTGGATGAGGAGGCGGAGGCGGCGGAGGAGAAGGAGGAGGAGGAGGAGGAGGAGGAGGAGGAGGAGGAGGAGGAGGAGGCGGAGGCGGAGGCGGAGGCGGAGGCGGCAGAGGCGAAGGAGGAGGCGGAAGAGGAGGAGCACCGCCCGCGCGGCCTCGGCAGCGCAGGCGCTGTGCACGCTGCGGCGTCGGCCGCCGCCGCGGCGCGGCCCTCGCTCCGCCACCTCGTCGCGGTGCTGCACGCCCTCGTGCTGGGGGACCCGGCGGCGTGCGTGGCGGAGAAGTTCGGGTCGCGCGTGCTGGCGCCCCCCCCCCCCCTCGCGGGCTTGGTCGTGGGCGAAAGCTCTCCACCCACCAAACCACCCCAACCCAACCCGAAGGTCTCGATTTACCCTCCATTTCTAGTTGGGGGGGGTCGCGGAACATCGAAAAAACACGCATGGAACCCTTACCCCCCCCCAACCCGAAATTCGGGTCTTCGGGTTGGGTTGGGGTGGTCTGGTAGGTAGTCAAAAGCGTGTCCGTATCCGCGGCCTCGCGGGCCTGGCCCGTGGGCCGCGCCCCCGTGGATGCGGGGCGTGCTTTCGCGGATGCCCCCCGCGCGGAACGTATCCGTGCGACCGCGTATCCGCGGGATCGCGCCCCATCGCGCCCCGGAGTGCAGACCGCGAGGGCGCGGATACGGATGCGAGCCCCCCCCCCCTTGGGCTGGCGGCCTGGTTCCGCCCAGCGTGCCGCCGGAGGAGGAGGAGGGAGAATGCCGCTGCGCTGCTCTGGCCGCTGGCGTCGGAGAAGCAGAAGCGGCACAAGCACAAACTCCCTGAGCTGCCCGCGGACTTCCTGGGTCGGCGTTGGGCCCCCCTGGCTGCGCCTGGCGCGCTCCGCGCGCCAGGGAGGGGGGGGGTCCAGCGCCGATGCCAGAAACCCGCGTGGAGCTCCCGCGGCTTCTGTTCATGCCGTCCTTTGCTCTTCTGACCCAGGGACGGGGCCTCGCTCCGCTTCGCGTGCCGGGGGCAGAGAGAGTGACCACCGAGGCCGCTGCCCCCGTCCCGGGCGGGGAGCCTTCGTCGCCTCGGCCAGCTCCTCCCCGAGGTTCTGGCCAGGCTTCGCCTCGGGAGAGGTCCGGGGCCGCCCAAAATCAGAGGCACCACCCCACCTGCGGCCCTCCATGTTGCGCTACGGCCCATCGGGCGCCGTGGCGTGTGCCACGCAAAAGCCCAAGCCAGAACTCATGGCACACAGTGGGGGCGCGCATCAAGAAACCATATGCTTTTCGTGAGGTTACCCAGGGTTTCTTCGCTCCGCGCGCTGTGCGGTGACTTCCCGCAGCCGTTGAAGAAGCTGCTGCGTTCAGGGTGCTCTGGGCTTCCCCTCGGGTGCACCCCGCGCGCGGGTTTTCAGGATTGGGATCCTTGCGAGGGTTTCTTGCGGCCGCGCCGGCACTGTATGCTTAGGCCCGCGGGGCCGCAGGTGGGTGGTGTCGTTTGCTTTCCTGGTCGACAGGGAGCGGCGGCATCGGTGCCGTTTTTTGATCCCTCACCAGCCTGCTGACTTTCCGCGCCCGCTCGGCGGTCTCGAAGAGGCGGGGCCCTGGAGGGGTGGGGCCCCGAGAGCGGGAGGAGGCTCCCGGGCGGAGCTTTCAGCGTCCAGGTCCTCCTCGACCCAGGGCCCCCATCTTTGAGGTGCTGATCCGCGTGCCCCTCTCTCCCCCCGTCACGGCCGCTGACACCTTTGCGCCCGCGTTCGGGCCTGTCCAGGTCCCTCGAGTCACCATCTCCTCTTCCCTCCTGCTCCTCGTTCCTCCTCGCTACTCCTGATGAATCTTTCCTCCCCCGTGCCTCCATTCTCATCTCCCCTATCATGGCCCTTCTCCATCCTCCTTGCTCCTCGTTATCGTCGTCGTCGTCGTCCTCCTCCTCCTCCTCCTCCTCCTCCTCGTTGTCCTCGTTGTTGTTAGTCGTCGTCGTCGTCGTCGTCGTCGTCGTCGTCGTCGTCGTCGTCGTCGTCGTCGTTAGTCGTCGTCGTCGTCGTCGTCGTCGTCGTCGTCGTCGTCGACGTCGTCGTCGTCGTCGTCGTTGTCCTCCTCCTCCTCCTCCTCCTCCTCCTCTCTCCTCCTCTCCTCCTCTTCCTCCTCCTCCCCCTCCTCCTCCTCCTCCTCCTCCTCCTCCTCTCATCTCCTCCTCCTACCTACCTCCTCCTCCTCCTCCTCCCCGCCCACTCCTCCCGCCTCCTCACTTCCTCCTCCACCCTCCTCTGTCTCCCTCCTCCCCCTCTGTCTTCCTTTCCTCCTCTCCTCCACTGTCCTCACCCTCACCCTGCTTCCACACACTCCCTCCTCCCCCGATCCGCCCCCTCCTCCCCCCCCCCCGGTGCCGAGGCGCTCGCCGGCCGAGCCCTGGAGCTCCTTGAGGTGGGCGCGCCGCCCCCCGCGCGCCATCTGGCCCCGCCTGCCGTGCCGTCGTGCCCCGCGGTCTTCCCTCGTCTTCGTCCTCGTCCCCCTCCACCCCCTGATCTCAGGAGTGACAAAAACACACAGACACAATCCATCGTCGATTCCCAGGAAAATAGGCGAAAATATGTGAAGTGGGAGGGAAGACGAAAAACATAGAAAATATTGGGAAATATGGGGAATCCGGTTATTTGTGTCCATATATTTGTGTGTCCCAGGGCCCCTTGATGACCTTCCTCCACCTCTCCGATCCTCCCCCAAGTTGGGGGGACAAAGATGCGCCGACACCGCTGCTTCTCGGTCCTCTCCTGGGGTGCGCTCCGGCCAGGGTTCTGGGGCGGATCCGGCCGTGGCGCTGAGGGACGAGCCGCGGTGTCGGTATCTTCTCCTCCTCTGACGACTCCTCCTCCCTCAGCCCCTTGCCTGGTTTTCGACTCGGCTCTGTGGCGGCCGTTCGGGACGATCCCGCCCCCCCGGGACGCTCTCGGCGAGGCGCAGCCACCGAAGGCATCCCGAGGCGTCAAGACCGCGGAGGGCCGACAAGCCGCAGAAGACGGCCGAAGACCTCGAGCCCGAGCTCGTCCCGCGGCCCTCCTGCCGCAGCGGTGTTCGTATCTGCGTCTCCTCCCTTCGCTCCCCCCCCCCCCTCCCCCCCCCCGCCCCTGCCAGGCGGGGGCGGCGTCGGTGGACGGCGCCGAGGGGGGCAGCAAGTCCTCCCTGGAGTTCGCCCTCGACAGCGCGGGGGCGGAGGGGGGCCTGGGCAGGGCCGTGCGCGAGGGCCGCAGGAGCGCCCCGCGGGTGGAGGGGAGTGGAGCAGAGGGGATCCTCCTCCTCCTCCTCCTCCTCCTCCTCCTCCTCCTCCTCCTACTCCTACTCCTCCTCCTCCTCTTCCCTTCTCCTTCCTCCTCCTCCCTTCTCCTTTCTCCTCTTCCCTTCTCCTTCCTCCTCATCCCTTCTCCTCCTTTCTCTTCCCTCTCCCTCCTCCTCTCCCTCCTCCTCCTCCTCCTCCTCCTCCTCCTCCCTCCTGCTCCTCCTCCCCCCCTCGCCTCCCTCCTCCTCCTCCTTCTCCTCCTCCTTCATCCTTTGCTTCTCCTCCTCCTTCTCCTTTCTCCCTTTCCCCTGTCTCCTCCTCCTTGTCTTCCCTCTCTCTTTCTCGGGCCTCGTATTGGTACTCTTTCTCCCTCTCGTCCTCGTCATTCTGTTGCTCCTTCTCCTTGTCCTTCTTCTTATCCTCCCCGCCGAATCTGAATCTCAGCCCTGGCCGGACTGCGAATCTGAGTCCGTGCCGGATGCCGAATCTGATTCCAAAGCTGAATCGAAAGAACCGAGTCCGAAGACTGCACCCTGGCGG